TTGTTTGGATCTGGATGTTCTGTTAGATATCTTTGTATCAAATCTCTTGCTTCGTCTGCAGAAAATCGAAGGAATAAATGTATTCTATCAACATATCTGCAATATAATCTAATCGGATGTGCAGTTTCAGATGCCACATCTTGGAAAGTTAAAAAGTCATTTGGCATTTGTGGGGGACCAGCCATTTCACTAGCTCTTTGCAGTCCAAGAACCAATAGATCAAGCACAAGTCCATAATACTGAGCAATAAATGATGCGAATTGCATACCCCTAATAATTCCATAACTGTTTATGTGATTCATATCTTTATAATTGATCACAACATTATTCTTTGCAGTCATGTAATCAGCAATATTATGATCAACGATTAAACGAAGAAGTCTGTTTAACAAAGTAAGATCGATTTTTTCGTAGAGCTTTTCAAATTTGGATTCTAATAAAACATTGCATTCTCCTTCGCTAACATCCCAAACATCCTGTAAATTGTTTATACCTTGACACCACTTGTAAACCAAAAGAGGTGGTGGTTCTGTGTCAGATGGTTTCACCCATGGTGGAAATAATCTTCGTTTATCTGCTTCATACCATAAATATTGATCTAAGTAAGCATCAGTTATTTTTTCAAGAGGTTCCACATCGTAAACTGGTATCAAATGACTATAAAGGTCCATAAATTCTATACCCACTTCTTTAAAGTTTCTTTGAGTCAAAAGATGACGTTTAATTCTAGATAAAGCTTCGTGTGGATTATCGTATGCTTGTTCGATTAATCCAAGCTCTTCGCGTTGACTTTGGTTCAATCTCGATTTAACGCTATAAGCTTCTTTCAAACGTTCTAAGGCCAATATCAATAATTTCGTATCGTGTTTATATGAAAGTGGTGGGAAAGGTATTGGAGCAAATCTTCTGGATTCTAACCAATGTACAGTAGTGGTATATATAGCTACAGCTTCCTCTGGAGTAATATAAGGTCCATCTTTTAAATAATTATGCTGACGTTCTTGTTCTGCTTTTAAATAAAGTCGAGTAAGACGACCTAAATTCTTTTTGCATACTGTCTTATCCACAGTAGCACCTCGTCTGATACGTTCTCGATTATAATGAGCAGTGTTTGTCCACCAATCAGCCTTCATTTTAACATAACGTAATATCATATTTTCTATAGGAATAGGCAATCCAGGGACTTTCCATGGTATATTAGCCTTCCAACATCTCCATGCTTCACTTAGATGTTGAAGGATTGTACGAGCTTTATTTTGTTTGATGCCTTCAGGCATCATGTCTACAATATCATGCATCACAGATGCTCTTAATTCAAGATCAAAATGTGATTCTACTCTTTGTTTAGTCACAGTTTTAGCTACTCCTTTAGAATGACGCCCTTCAAATTGCCTGGATAACAAATTACCTAACCATCTTTCTAATAATGGTGTTATACCTCTCATAAAGAAAAGCCATACTCTCCATCCAGGTGCCCAAAATCCACAACCAGGTCCTTTTCCAACTGGGCCAGTATTAAATCGATAATATATTAAATGCTTTAGATCTTTACACATTCTTATTTGTCTCATTAGTTTATACTTGTATCGATACATGCCAGTAAGCTGGCCAACATGAGCAAAAATGTATTGTAATCCATCAGCTAGTTGGAATGCATCAACATTATTTAGACGATATTGTACGTGTGAGTCAATAATTAATTTCGTCAAACGAAGAATTTCTCTACATAAATGGAAAGCATTTCCAAATCGTGATTTTTTTCTTTCCTTTGTCGTAAGGGTTTTAACAGGTTTTAGATTGAAATTATAATCTAAATGAAGATAATTTAAATTCTTTCTATGTATGAGTAAGTTCAGCATATTATAGCCTTGACGACATACTTGCAATCCAGCTTCAACCCAATCTATAGTTGTAGTTTGGAAAAATTTGGTAGATTTAAATGACCGGAATAAATAACGTTTCTTTTGAGGCTTTGGTGGTCTATGCTTCAATGCATTTAATACGAAATATTTAAGTAACTTTTGGTAACTAACTCGTACTTTAACAGGTTGTCCTGGAGGACAATGCTCTCTATACCATGATTTTACTAAAGGAATATCAATTGCTCTTCTGGTTCTTCCAGAGCGTGTATTAAATGGTCTTGGTGCCCACAAAAGTGCTATACCATTAGCTGTATTGTCTGTATAAAGTGGTGTTTCTTGTAAAAATGGCTGGACTTCATCATCTAAGACGAAATCTTCATCATCTTCAATTTGTGGTTCTACTGTCTATAAATAATAAAAATGTATAATTAACTTTTTATCATTAGAATTCTAATACAAAATTTTTTAATCTATTTATTTATTATTAATTAATACAATTAATTATAATACTTATAATCTATGTTTTAAATTCTTACAATTTACCTTTAATGAATTCCTATGTGAAATTGGATTAATCAAAGGATCAAAATAAAATGCTGGTAAATCAGGATCCTCTGTCTTTATATATACAACATTTGGTGCATGATACCTATAAATTGTTTAAAAAATTAAAATATATTAGATATTAAGATACAAAGTATATATTATTATTTTCTAATAAATTATTAATTAGAAATATAAACTACTCTAGTAGATAGAATACAATGTATGTTATGTAGGTGGCATCAGCAGTTCTCTTTTAATTTTTAGAAAGAGTACGAATAACAACCATCTATTTTGCTATACCACACTGCTAGTTAGACTATAATGGACTAATTGATAAGTCTATAAACTAGTGTGGAAATATTCTTTCACACATACAAATAACTTCTGTATTATATTAATTATAATAAGTTACTTACCATGAAAGGTGTACAAAATGTGGCATGTTATTATACAAATAAGGGAACGCGATGCGATATTCTGTCCTAATAGGCTGTCTAATAATAATTTTATTTATATCATTGAATTCATTCCAATCTTCATCAGCAGCATTTGAATCTTTTACAAGAGGTTCAAACTTTGGACCTCCTGGTATTGCCATATTTAATGCTTTTGCAGTAAAGAATGACTTGGGATCAAATAAATAAAAGAAATTGTGATCAACCAAATCGGTTAAGAGTTGATTCGCTAATCGATACAATGTGGCCATTTGAGGAAGAGTCAAATTCCATCTTCTATATGTAGATCCATTAACATGTCTGTAATAATTTCAAATATATAGTAAGATATTTACACTTTTACAAAAAATATTATTTATATATGATATACATTTATCAGAATGCGTTTCGTCCAGTGATACATTCTTGCAGTATGTCTCAGACACTACTACAAAAACATAATCATCTGTCAACTCACATAAATAGTTGATTTCAGGACCCCTACGCTACTCATCATATAAAGTTAAGTATATAATTTTAAACATGATAATATATTATACAAAACTAGATAGGAGTGGAGGGTTCTTCCAATATTATAAATTTATATACCTGCTTCCAACCATTGGTTTGTGTTCATAAAACCATGATGCAACAGATTCATCTTCTTCAGAGTCAAGTTCAATCTGAATAGCTTCTAATGGTTCAACATCTAGAACATTATCAGCATAGTCTAATGGAGGTTCCTCATCATCAAATGGTGGAAATCTCATTCTTTTAAAATGTCTACGATCTCTTTTTTCTCTTCGCATCATAATCCACATTGTTCTAATTTTCACAAATGATTAACATAAACATATCATTAATATATATGAGTATATACATACTGTGATACATATAAGAAAAACAAGATTGAAATTATTAAAATAACTCACCCCCATTGTGCAATATAAACAGGTTCAATAACCCATGGAATTTCGTTAACAAATGTAATAGCTCCAGTTATATGATATAAAACCTTTACGTCTCTTATTTGCTCCCAAGGCATTGGCATATTTTCTAACAATTTCATTACTGCATGTGGCATATATTTTAGCGCGCTAGAATTAAACAAGTAATGTTCATACATTACAACTTTTCAAGTACATTAAAATATTTGAATAAATCTTACCCTAAATATACACGCTTATCATGTCTATATTTGCGGCTACTCATATCACCATGATCCCTTATAATTTTACGAATATGTTCAGGTGGCATATCTTCTTTTTGAGCATCGACAAATCCAAATTTTCTTTTCTCCGCAAACCGTTTTGATTGTAATTGTTGCCATTTTTGTGCTATAATTAAATATCAGCGAGTTACTTTCCTATAGAAATAAAATTTACTTTTATACTACCTTTTTCTTGTAATTTATCCTCTGATAACACTTCTGGTTGTTTTGGCATTTGAGGAAGTGGTGGGCCAGCAATAGCTTGCATGTGGGCATGATGCGCAGCTTGAGCATGAGCGGCTGCTTGTGCATGAGCCTGTGCCGCAGCTAATTGGGCATGGGCTTGTTGTTGGACCATCATGGTTGCCCATGGATTTGGTCCTAATAAATACGGTGGTATAGACATTATTGCAAGATGTCCTGTAAAAAAGAAACATGATGAAAAATATATACTTTATATTTATTATTTATTCTAATATTAACAAAATAAAGAAATAAAAAAATTATAAATAATTAATAATTATCTAGGTCTAAATCGAGAGTGAAAGTAGGTCTAAATTATTAATAATTATCTCCGTATACTATGAGCGTGGCTTTTTTTTTAGTAACTATTTTTTTTCTTTACCGGAATTCTTATTTTTTCTTCAAGTTGACAATAAATAACTGCTAATATATAAAATAATAATATAATGTTGTTTTCTTTAAACTTAACATTTCAACTACAAAATATCTCCAAAATAGATACGATTTCGCAAATTATTTTAATAATACGAACACTGAAATTCGAGGCTATATTAATTTTTCCAAGCTTCCTCTGGTTTATTACTACCATGATATGAAACTGTAGTTCGTTAAAACTTGAGCGTCCTCTGGTGTTGCGTCTATTGTAACAGGTGCGCTTGCGCTCACATATATCATAAGTGCGCACAAAACACACGGATAGTAGCAATTGAGACAGAGAGAGAGAAAGAAAGAAAGAGAATTTTACAAAGTCGCGCCAACAAAACATGCTCGTTGCAGTTTATTTCTAAACAAAGATTAGGTTAAATCGTGTCCTTTGAAATTTTCATTTTTTTATATTTAAGTAGTTGAATTAATTATGTCAGTCAATAAATGATAATCTTAAAATTTATTGCACTAATGTAACAAAATAAAAAATTAAACATGAAGTAATAATAACTCATTTTATATTATTCGAATGTAAATTATAATAATTACAAGTATCAAATGTTTCTTATTTATTTTTTTATTTCAGGATTAATGTTGATGATTTAATTGTTTATTTTCCATATGATTATATATATCCAGAGCAATATGCATATATGTTTGAACTTAAGCGTGGTCTGGATGCAAAAGTATATATAAATAAGTTCATTTATTTTCTTTTAATCTTGGTCATAGCGTATTATATAAATTAATAAACAAGATTAAGAAATGCTCTTTAAAAAATATGTAATTTGATTTTCATAATCTTAGGGTCACTGCCTTTTGGAGATGCCTTCAGGAACTGGAAAAACAATTACGCTATTATCTTTAATTGTTGCATACATGTTGGAACATCCGTTGGATGTTACAAAATTAATATATTGCTCTAGAACTGTACCAGAGATAGAAAAAGTTATAGAAGAATTAAAAAAACTTATTGATTATTATGAAAAAGAATTAAAAAGTAAACCTAAAATAATAGGATTAGTTCTCAGTTCAAGAAAAAATATGTGTATCCATCCCGAAGTAATTATCAAATAATGATATAAATATCAGGCAATATAAATTGCAGCTTACCATTAAACTTCTAACCAATTTTAATATGTAATTTGAAGGTAAGCAAGGAACGAGAAGGAAAGGTAGTTGATTCACGGTGCCATTCTCTCACTGCGTCTTATGTTCGAGATAGACATAATTATGACGAATCTACACCAATTTGTAATTTTTACGAAGGATTTGACTTAGAAGGTAAAACTCAAGTTATACCATCTGGTGTATATTCTCTCGACGATTTAAAAGAATATGGTAGAGATCGTAACTGGTGTCCTTATTTTCTTGCACGTTTCATGGTAAATAATTATTTTTTAAAGATATGGTTTTTTTTTTAAATATTTCTACCAAAAAGCTTTCATATAATTTCTTTTACAGATTATACAAGCTCAAATTGTAGTTTACAGTTATCATTATTTACTCGATCCAAAAATAGCTGAAACTGTTTCTAAGGAATTAAGTAAAAGTTCTGTAGTTGTATTTGACGAGGCTCATAACATTGGTATGTGATATTTAATTGGTATGTGTATATATAAATTATAACACTTTGTTTTATTTGTCAGATAATGTTTGTATTGATTCAATGAGCGTTAAAATAAATAGAAGACTCATGGAAAGAAGTTCTGCTAATATTCAACTTCTAGAAAAAACTGTTGCAGAGTAAGTGACTTATCATTAATCTTGTTTATTATTTTTGAAAATATTTTATTTATAATTATTTTATTTTTATATACTTGTATATTGTAGAATGAGAGAAGATGATGTTAACAAATTAAAAGAAGAATATGAAAGATTAGTTGCAGGATTAAAAGATGCACAAGTACAAAGAGAAACTGACATTATTTTATCAAATCCTATATTACCCGATGAAGTCCTTCAAGGTACATCATCGTATATAATATTTGATTGTGTCTTTCTTATCTATAATTTTCTTTTTTTTTATATTTTTACAGAAGCTGTTCCTGGAAACATAAGAAATGCGGAACACTTTGTTAATTTTTTGAAACGATTTATAGAATACTTAAAGACACGTTTACGCGTGCAGCATGTTGTACAAGAATCTCCGGCAGCTTTCTTGAGAGATATTCAAACAAAAGTTTCTATAGAACGAAAACCCTTACGATTTTGTGCTGAACGATTAGCATCACTTTTAAGAACTATGGAAATAACAGATCTAACAGATTTCTCCCCGCTTACTTTAGTAACGCATTTGGCAACATTAGTTTCTACTTACACAAAAGGATTTACAATTATAGTAGAACCATTCGATGATAAAACACCCACAGTTCTAAATCCGGTATTACACTTCAGTTGTTTAGATTCATCCATAGCAATGAAGCCAGTATTTGAAAGATTCCAATCAGTAGTTATTACCTCTGGAACGTTATCACCTTTAGACATGTATCCAAAAATATTAAATTTTCACCCAGTAATAATGTCTTCCTTTACTATGACACTAGCTCGACAATGTCTCCTTCCAATGGTAATAATTATATTTCTTTAATAATTATATCGTAATATTATTATATTAATATGACTATATTCTTCATAAAATAGATTGTAGCTAAAGGCAATGATCAAGTAGCAATTTCATCAAAATATGAAACAAGAGAAGATGTTGCCGTTATCAGAAATTATGGTCAACTTTTAGTTGAATTTGCTGCTAATGTTCCCGATGGTTTAGTTTGCTTTTTCACTTCATATTTGTACATGGAATCTGTTGTAGCTGCTTGGTATGTTTTATTTTACTTAAAATAATATATTATTTAATTAGTATCCACACTTTTCTTAATTTTATTAAAAAAAACTTTTCTATTTAAGGTATGATCAAGGAGTAGTAGATCAACTTCAGAGACATAAATTGCTATTCATTGAAACTCAAGATTCAGCAGAAACTAGTTTAGCTCTTTTAAATTACATAAAGGCTTGTGAAAATGGTCGAGGTGCTATTTTACTTTCGGTGGCTCGTGGTAAAGTCTCAGAAGGTGTAGATTTTGATCATCATTTAGGAAGAGCTGTTTTAATGTTTGGTATACCCTACGTATATACGCAATCAAGAATTTTGAAAGCACGTCTAGAATATTTACGTGATCAATTCCAAGTAAGTAAATAGAGATTTCTGAATTTTCTAATAATTTATAATCTAAACTTTACTCCTTTAAAGATAAGAGAAAATGATTTCTTGACCTTCGATGCTATGAGACATGCAGCACAATGTGTTGGACGTGCCATTAGAGGTAAAACTGACTATGGTATTATGGTATTTGCTGATAAGGTAAATTATAAAATATTTATAAATGTTTATCTATTTATAACAAAAACTTATATTTAGCTTATTTGTATAAATTATGCGTAGAGGTTTTCTAGAGCTGACAAACGAAGTAAATTACCAAAATGGATACAAGAGCATTTATCAGATGGTTTATGTAATTTATCTACTGAAGAAGCTGTACAGGTGATATGATTGAACCATGCGTTGCAACTATAATTGACATTAATTTTTCATTATTCTATTTATTTTTAGATTAGTAAACGATGGTTAAGACAAATGGCTCAGCCATTTACGCGTGAAAATCAATTAGGTCTATCACTCTTAACAAGAGAACAATTGGAGAAGGAGGAAGCTAGTAAAATTGAACAGAAGGCTCAACAAAATTAAATTTTATATAAATAATATCTTTAGTAAAAATATTCCATATACTTATGTCATTTGGGATAAGTATTTTTATTCGTAGCTTGTAAAGATATCTTTATATATAATTTTGTACTGTGATTGTGTTTAATATTAATATAAAATATTAAAAATCCATTTGCATCAAGTATTCATAATTCCAAAGAAAAAACCATTTTTATTAAATTATTAAGCAATGTTTTATATGTATTTCATGATATTCGCGCTTATTTATTAATAAGAATAGAAATAGAGTTGATGTCACATTATGGAAGAGATCGGTAACTTTTTAAATAGTAATTATTAAAAGGATTTAAGTAATAATCAAATGTGATTAAAAAAGTTTAATAACAAAGTACGGTGAAGAAATTTTTTCAACAGTATAGAAAATACAGTCATATGAATAAATAATTAAGTTAATATCACCACCTCACAAGAACTTGATCACCATCTTGAATAGAATAATAACTAAGTTCTTGCAACGGTTTATCTAAAGGAATTTCTTCTTTTGAAAGCTGAAACCATTATAGAATATATACATATATATATATATATATATAGTAAAGTATATATATAGTAAAATTCAATTTTAACATTAAAAATAATAAATTTGGTATCATACTCACATTCTGTTGTACAAATGAAAGTGTTGGAATTCTTCCACCAGTTTTAAAAAGTCTCTGTGCGAGTCCTATCACTTTTTGAACTTCCATATCTTTAAGAAGTTTTCTTTTAATTCCTTTAAGTTGATGTGGATCATTTGGGCATTTAAATTCTACCGTTATAACGTTGGAAACCATTTCTGCTTTTGCTTTAGATGATGGAATATCAGATATTCCATATTCTAAGAGACAAAATGTATTTATATAAAATCATTGAATAATTCAAACTATTTATTGTAGAAAAAAATATAGTTTTACGTACTGTCAACTAAAATTGGGTATCGTGGATGTTCATTTATGAATAAATTCCTTTTATCAAGATTATTTTCAATTTCTATCCATTTTCGTAAATATAATTTTAAATAATCGTACTCGGCACCCCTTCTTTCTTCATGTGTTATTTCCGTGCCATTTAATATTTTTAAATGTGATATTCTTGCTATTATTAATTGCCTTCCTGTTTCTAAAGTGTAATCCTTTAAAATTGGATTTCCCCTAAATCTAAAATCTTCTAAATTATTAAGTTTTTCCAGCTCACTCACAGACTGCCACTAAAAACGAATGTTCTCTTATTAGTAAATCAACAAAATCTTTTTTATAAACTGTATATTACCTCTGATATGTTATTTTCCGATATATGCAATTGCCGTAAAGCAGGAAATAAATTTGTTTTACCAGTTGATATAGTAGATGGAAACCTTATTCTATCTATTGTATTTGAACTCAAATTAAGGCATTCTAAACTGCAAATTTAATAATATTTAAATAATGTATACAAATATAAAAATGAAATGACATTATATATTTAGTTTTATTAACTAGCATACCATGGAAGTGAACCTAGCTTAAGAATTTCTGTCCAACTCGACAGAAAATTTCCTTCGAGCATAATTGTTCGTATTCTCATAGAAGTTGAGTATTTTAATGAACCTTCTAAAGAACTAATATTATTAAACGAAGCTGATAGTTCTTCCAATGACGAAAACATATCCACACATTTCTGCACATCGGACCATTTATAATTCATTCTGGTAATAGTTACATTCTTTACATTTGTGAATGCATATTTCAATGTTTCCATATTTTCTTCAGGTAGCAAATAATTTTCACTAAAAAATTGATTGTTTATTCATATTAAACTAGTTTTATGATATATTTTGAAATATATAAATTTACCTAACATTAAGCCGTTTAAGAGAATGAAGTTGACTACAAATATTTGCAACAGTATTCCAGGAACTTATTAAATTTTTCGATATATCTAATTCTTCCAAATTAGGACATAATTCTTGTAATTCGCCAAGAGCACCAGCATCATTGACACATTGCTCTCTTAAGCATATCATTTTCAATTGATCGAATTTACTTTGTTTTTTATTCACTTTGGAAAATCCAACCATTTCTAAAAATGGAGCATTCATTTCTTTTTGTAAAGATGACAAAGTATCCTTATCTACTCCTGCCAATTCATCGTCTATTAGACCATAGCGTTGTTTGATAGCTTGTGGACAGGATATACCAAATTTAACTTTACCAGGTCTTACAAATGATCCCGATGTAGTCTGCCTATTATATAATACATAATTAATCGAAATAATATATATACAATAAAATCATTATATCTCCAAATCATACCTAGCTTTAAAATATTCAGCACCTTCATATGTACCATTATGCTTTCCACGTCCAGGATCATCCCAATCTATACCCAACCAAAGACCTTTGATGTTCCCAACAGGACCAGCATATTTTAATATACCTTGATATCCATCACATTCTATGCGACTTCCAATTTTATAATTTTTGTCTTCAACCATACTAAATAGGAAACAATTACTTGTATTACATCAAATAATGAATATAAATAAGTCAATCATTAGATTATGTTTTATTATAATGCAAAAGAATATTACTACAGATTTAAATAATGAAATTAATATAAATCATGTTATTAAAAAAAATATTAAATAAAAAGAAATATATGTTTCTCTTGTTGTTAAAATCCTAACCTCAAAGCTATTAAAAAACATTGGAAGCTATGATATGAATGAAATGATAACAGTATGCTTTCTATAAAGCTTAAATATCACAAAATATAGCTGAAAATATTACTTGAACAAAGTAGAGACGTGATACTGCGATATAATTATATATCAAAGTATAAAAGTCATAAGAGACAATCTGACATTTCTATTTAGTGTTAAATGCAAGTAAACGTGAGCGATATTGAGAGATTTGTATGAATTTATGACAAAAAATTCCTAAATTAGAAGATGACATTTATTAGTGTATAGGGAGCATTAGTCTCTATCAGTAGATGGCGCGACGATTGTTAAACGTAACCTACTAACATTATTATGTAAGACAATTACGGTTGTTGGCAACGCATCCTACAGACATTAGCCTTAAACGGTGCTATCAGTTGACCTTATTGGTCATTATTTGGACAAGTTCGGCGTTCAACCAGTATTTTAGTAGTTATGGAGTGCATTAGTTAGGTGTCACTACAATCCCATTATTGACAAACTCCAGTTATATTTTCTTCAATTTTGAAATTGTTTTGACTTAACCTCTTATAGACAAATATTGAAATTTATTTATTTTGGTTTGAATTAAATCCAAAAAATGGCATCGACTAGAGAAAGACGAGCAAATGCCGGTAATAAAATGGCTAAGTTGTTAAATGAAGAAGAGGAAGACGATTTTTATAAAACTACTTATGGTGGCTTTGATGAAGTTGAACAAGATCATGATTATATGTTAGCATGATTAATTCTTCTATTTTTTAAAAAGAATAAATCTTATTGTCATTTTTTTTTATTTTTCTTATTTTATTAACAATCTTTAGGGAAGAGGACGAAGGTGAAGATGAAGTGGATTCTGACTTTAGTATTGATGAAAACGATGAGCCAGTTTCTGATACAGAACAAGAAAATCCTAAAAAAAAACGTAGATTAATAACTAAAGCTTACAAAGAACCAAAAGCAGTTACAACTCAATCATCTGCACCTTTAAGGGAAAAGAAAATAAGACGCCAAAGACACGATAAATTTCTTATAGATAGTACCGGTAATCATATAGCAGTTAACACGTTGACTGTCATGCAAGTTTAACATGTTTTACTGTAGAGACCATAATTTTAAAATACAAAACAATATATTAATGTCAATCACAGATGATCTCATTGAAAAGTAAACACTGGTCACAGGTGACTGATATGGCAGTCAATGTGTTAAACTTAAAAAAAATTATTATGATACATAAGTGCTTTAACATGTTTATTAATATAAATCTTAATAGAAAGGAAGTCTATACGTCGGTCTACTGCTGCTAAGTCAGCGGCAACTCAAAAGCGTTTATTAGAAAGAAATGAAGATCAAAAGAAAAAAACTAAAGTAATTAAACATGAAACTTGGAAACCTACGCAGGAAGAATTACTCGAAGAAGCATTGCAAACTGAGCAAATAAATATGAAATCATTAGGTAGATTTTATTATTGTCTATATAAAGCAATTTTTATTTTTACTTTATTCATTCGTTATGAAATTTTTTTTATGATTTACATATTACTATAGCAAATTTATTAAAATAAAACTGTTTCTTTCTCTTATATTCTATCTGTTTGATATTTACAGAAAAGTACCAAAAATTAGAAAATGAGAAAAAGAATACGAGAGCTGTTAGAAAAGCACATGGAGGTCCAATGATCAGGTATCATTCTATGTCAATGCCTGTAATGGTTATTACTGAACCAGTAGAAAAAGAAGATGTTAAAATTAATGTAGAAGAAGGAGATGATGAGAAGAATGTGGTTCCAAGTTCCAATAGTGTTTCTGACGTATCCGTCCTAGGAGATTCGTAAGATTATTTTGTAATGTTATAAAATAAAAAATAAATATAGAATTATTAGTGTAATTTTAAGATATTCATTAAAATTACATTTATGCAAAGTATTTTATTTTGTTTAGTGAAGCGACTAATTGTGATGCAGAAGTTGAGCCAAAAGATAAATTAGATGATGGCACAAAAAATAAAATAAATCTTCAATGTGAAGAAACAGGAACGTTTTACGAACGATCATTTATCACATTTGAAAATGACCAATTACTATTAGAAACATTTAAAAAACCTACTCCACTAAAGCCAGCAACAAAAGCTCTATGTGCCATAACAAGGTAGAAACAAGATATATTGACTGTTATAGAAAGTTTGCAAAATATAAATATTAATATACATAGAATAAAAACATGCTTATATCTTTAATGTAATTAATTTTATCTTTTTAAGGCTCCCCGCAAAATACTTAGATCCTATGACACAGTTGCCGTATAAAAATGTACAAACATTACGTTTACTTCGTGAAGCATATTATCGTCAATTAGAAGCTCGTAGCGATATCAACGATACTTCGTTAAGTCCAGAATTATTACGATGGCTCGAATGGAGACAAAAAAATTGTGGTACAAATTATAGAAGCACTATACGTCTTGAACCAGCAACGATTTCTACAAATTCGTAGCATATTTAATTATTTAATAAATAGTAGATACAAGGAAAAAAGAACAATTAATATTATAATTTTTATAGTTAATTAACGATTCAAGTAATAATTATCTATTTTTTAAATATAGTATTATAGAATTTATACAATTGTTTAAGTTGTAAAAATGCTTTTTTTAAATATGTAAAATAAGTTGTATATGGTTAAATCTCTTTAAAAAAATTAACTTTATTTATATTTGATTTTATATATAAAAAAAAAGATTAAATAATTTAGCATTATACATTTAACTCGACGTTTGTATTATATAGTTTTATATTATTATAACTTTGCCAGAAAAATAAAAATTAGATATATTTATTGTCCTATTTTTGTTATTTATAATAAAATTACTTATTTTATCAGTGATATATATAATGAAATTAAGTCTTAATTATTTTTTACATAATTTATAAAAATAATAGATTTATTTAGAGAAATAATAATACAATTTAAAAAATATTTATAATTTATTGAATACATTGTAATTCTTAGTAAAACACTAAAATATAAGCAATACAGATATAATTGTATTGAGAAAACATGTCATATAAAGTATATTTACATACTTAACAAATTATTATCTTAAATAAATGAAATGGTATTTTTTATTTTCTCTTCTAATTTTTTATTTGCCAATTGCTGTTCTTTTAAACGACTTTCTAAAAGTTCCGATGAATGATGTATTTCTTTAATCTTCTTTTTAGTATTTTCGCAAAACTCAGCAAGTTGGTCAAATTCATTTATTAAATTGTTGTCTTCAAAAGTACTGTCATTACAATCCTTTATTTTCCGTTTGTTTTGAATCGGTTCTTTAATTATATTATCTCTTTTAGGAGAACATGTTTCATCTAGGTTTATTTTTGTTGTAAATTCTGTAAATGTAGTAGATTTAAACCACCACGGTAACGTTTTAAAATATTTCATATAATTTTTATTATAAACGATCTTTAAATCCGTTCCAATAAAACTTATTTTTTCTTTGACAATTTGAACTAATATATTTGCAAAATTTGTTACTTTTAAACTGCCAGTCATAAAATATAAATGACTTAAAATATCACAGGAGAAGGTATTGCTATTTACATCTGGTAACACTACTTGACAATAACGGATTATATTTTTGTGTAATTGATGTGCATCTTTTACTGGCCATGGAAAGCTCCAATGTGGTAGCAACAATCCACTTAAAATATTTTCTAGAGTTACTCTATACTTCAGTGTTCTCCATAAATCATCAAAATATTCATAACTACATGGTAATATGTGCTGGTTCCTTACAAATTTTTTTAATTCTGGTGCAAATTTTGTATACATTAGAGATTCTGGATCTAATAAAATATGCATCAAATATGTGACCGCTTCATTATGCAGGTTTATTAAAAAATTCGGCTCTTTCATAGCTTGAGATAAATTTCCGTTATTAATTGAATCTTCTAAAACTCTTTGCCAAAGTTCTTCCGTTAAACAAATATCACATACATTTTGTAAAGTATCCATTTCCAATGGATTTTGAGGAGGTTTCTTAATAACCAACCATAAAATCGTGCTTTGAATTAAATTTAATATAATTTTTTCATTTAATGTTTTCTCAACAGTGATGGTGTATTCAGATACATATCCTGAATCTAATAGAGTATCTAAATCTGCTACAATTTCGTCTTTTTTCATCTCCAAACTTCCACTTCCCAAAATAATAAGTACTATAGGTATTGGTAGAAGTTTATCTTTAGATAATATAGTTTTTGTTAACCGTTTTTTAATGGAAATAACATTTTCTGAAGCATTTGCTATAAATATAAAACCATCCGTTCCAATTAAATGGTGTTCTGCAATAAAGCCTTCAAAATGCCTTATAGAAGCATATAAATGTTCACATGAGTTTGATTGAAATGATTTTATTATTGGTTCTGTTGTATAATCTTCAGGACATAAATATCGATTTATTATTTTTTTATATTGCCACACATCAATCCTATTTTCTAAATCAGGCCATGATATTACAAGCTTCCAAAATAAATCTGTCAAAATATGGATATTTAATGATTTCAAGTTTTCTTTAATACCTTCATAAATAATTGCCTCAATAGGAGCTAAATTATTGATGATTGATTTTGGTATTTCTACGGTACAATGCCTTTTGCGCATATTTTCTATAACTAACTTTTGTCCATTACGATATAACATTTTAGCACATTCATCTAGAGATTGTTTCTGCAACCAAACAGGTGTGTCATCTAATGCTTTTCTTTGCTGAGTTTTTTTCAATGCCCATTTCCTCCATACGTAAAAATATTTATTGATCTTTCGTTCATGTCTTTTTTTTGCAAACTCTTCTAACTTTTGATAATTTATTATTTCTTCATATAATATATCATCACATATTTCAGTAAGAAAACTATTTAATATAGTATTACTTAAAGAATCATACATTGTTGATTTCTTTATTTCTTCTTGTAGAATATTAGAGCATGGTTCTTCTATCACTTCTTCTATCAATTCTTCAAAGATTTCGTCTGTATCTTTACTAATTTGTTGCATTTTTTGTTCCAATTGTTTTGTAGCTATAATTTCAGATTCCTTTTTAATTGATGACTTATTTGGAGATTGTATATTTTTACTTATTAGCTCTGTTTCTTCAGATGGAACAAATTTTGTACTAGATAGACTTTGATGCGAAGTCAAAGTTACATTTGAGACATTATTGTCGAATATCTTGCATGGTAGAGTAGATTTTTGAAATATATTTCCTTTTCCAGTTTCAGAAAGTATGCTTTTATTTAAAGCCATTAAAAATGGTGAAGATTTTTCAAAACTTTCAATTGGTTTAGTCTGCTGAAAAACATTAAAACTTGGTTGCGGAAGCAATGTATTATTGTTTGTATTATTCGAAATTTTATTATTATCTTTAAGCTTTTTCGATAAAGTATCATATTGTGGTTTATCAAACAGTGAGGGTGTATTAAGATAATCTTGTTTTATTTGAGTATTCAATGGTAAATTTGTTTCTGTCTTATTTTCAAGCATAATCTGTTCATATTTTGATCCAATTTTACTATGTTCTGATTTAAATATAGAAGTAGTTTCTGATTTATTTAAATCAGTATCATTGATTTTAGATATTTTTTGAAAGTGATCATATTTGGTAATTGTTGGTGAATCTACAAGAAAGGCACTATGACTTTTTTCATTAGTAAGTAAAATTTCTTTACTAGAAGGTTCTGATTCCTTTCTTATAAATTCATGTGAAATTTCCATACTATTATCGACAGTTGAATTCTGATCTTCTGCATTTATAGATTGAGGCAATAAATAGCCTTCAGAATTAAAACTACTGTGGGGCTTATGATTCTTGTAAGATTTTTCAGGCATTTTTCCACCAGCAATGCATTCACTAATCGATAATCCTTGAGAAGTTCTTTTTGATTCTATCATATAACGAGCTCTACCTTGTTTTATATTTGACATTGGCAAACAATAATTTTGTCTGTTTAACATTATATATAATTCATCACTTGATACACTGATTCCTACTTGTTCACAGAAATATATAGCCTCATTCTCATTCTCAAATCCAAGATTTTGAAGTAATTCGTATAATGGATAAGCTGTAGATGTAGTTCTGCAATATGCTTTGACCATTATAGATAAAGCTTTAACTCTAACTTGATTAAAATATCTAAGCAAAATACAGGCATTTAAAAAAGTTGTTTGCCGCACTAGTTTAAAAAATTTGTAATAATTATTAGACTCGAGAGCAGAATATATATTTATTGCAAATTGTACTTCTGATGACTTCTGTATTGAGATTGGAAGTTGCTGTAAGTCTGACATGAAATTACCATTATTCAAATTTAAGAGAATAATATATCCTCGAAATTCTGGTTCGTTCTGACATGTGATACCTTTTACTCTTAAATCATGATACATATACTTTAAAGACTGTAAGCATTTTGTTAAGTTTTCTGAATTGATTTTTTTATCAAATACTGATAATTCTTCCGCGCAAAGTCTTTCTGAGCATACTATGTGAAATTTAGCACATTGTTCAACTAATTCTACACTATCGATACAACAAAGTTCTTGTTGAGTTATATCTTTTCTTATTCCTCTTGTTCTATCCCATAAAAAATGATACCATTCTCCTAAATTAGTTCCTTCTTCTTCACAAAGATTTACTATTTCATGAAGCAAATAACTCATAGTCATTTTTAAGGATTTTACTGGTCTTAATTCATGAGCCATTGGTTCTTCTTGATCTGCAGAAGATCTCGAGTATTGTTTAACAGCAATCATATGATTTATTCTATACTCATTTCCTTCTAATAGTTCATACGGAGCTATTTGCCTTTGCGATTCACGCATCAAACGTTCTTTTTCAGGACACATATCTGGACAAGTTCCACTTGTAATTTCAGCAGTTTCCAATGAGTGAGATTTAACTTGTTTAAGCCTCATCAAACGATCCCTTGCCTCTAAAATTTTATATTTATCTTCTGATGTAATACCAATTTGATGTATTATACTTTGTAATTCTTCCATAGATGCACCATGCAACGATGTCATTATTTGACTATCAGTTTCAATTTTATCTTTATCAATTTTGAGCAGCATCTTTTCAGATTTTTTTGCATGTGATCCTTTGCTTTTTTTCACAGTAGGTACCCTAAACATATTATCACTCTTATAATCATGTAAATTATATTCTAAATTTGTCATAGCTTCCAATTCTGTTTTAATTTCATTATCTATTTTAAGAAAATTTGTAACTATATTTTTTGAATCTTTCTTTTTGGTCGGAGACTTCGGTGATTTATCTGACTTTGTCCATCCAACAGTAAACTTTTGACCTAAATATTCTCCACTTTTCTGATAGGCATCGTTAGCTTCTTCCTTAGATTGAAAAACTACTATAATTATTTGCTTCTTCGGTTTAATAGTAATTTTTAATACTTCACCATAAGCATTAAAATGTTCTCTTGCAGTTGATCTTATAAGTAATTCCTTTGGAACATCTGTACATGTTATTGAATTATCCAAATTACATTTAACTATCTGTGATTTAGAATTTTTTTTTAATTGCCCATATGCTGAACCATCTTTCAAAGCATTGGCAAACAAATTAACCGATGGTTCGAATGCATTTCTAGATATTTTAGGCTTGTATTTTTTTCCTGTGTCATTAGTTTGTTCCTTAGTAAAACTACTCAGCTGTGTTATTGCTTCAGGTGCTGCAAAACTAAATTCTTGTTTGCTGCTGCTTGAAGACATCAAATTGGTTGGAAAACTATAATTATAAGTTTTTGGAGGACTAAAAACAACGTTTGGCCTAGAAAATGTAAATCCTAGAGAAGTTGGATTTTCTGTAGTATTTGTATCCATTTCTTCCTTATCAGACATTTTTTCTTCTATACAAATAGAATTATTTTAATGTTAATATTAAAAGATAATTTAACTGTGTGTTTATGTATATAACTAACCTCTTATCCGTTCGAAAAGTTTATTATAATGCAATGATTGTTTTACTTTCTATTCATTTTAAATATCTAAAAATGTTAAATTATCTCTTCAATTTAATTTTTTTCTTAAAGATTGAAATGTATTTCGCTATAATATTATTTCAAAATATTCAAAATCTGAACTTTTTCACTCCGTTTACACTTTTAATAAATAATCACTAACCATTTTATAATACTTCGTCGTTCAATCCAACATTCTCTTAAGACACCCCGTATATATAAAATTATACGAATACGAAGTTTCTTTAAAGTAACCAATCACATTCGATATAATCTGTATATCCAATGAACGATAAGTATTAAGATGTCTGTGAAATATTGTCAAATCATTTTATATTGTCATGTCGTTACTAGCATATTATTAAACTACACTTAAACAACACTAGTTAAGCATTAAAAAAGAAACATAATGATTAAGTTAACAAAACAATATAATTTAGAAGGTTTCTCATTAATAATACCGTCAGTGGCAGTTGGTAACGTCGCTCAATTAACTGTTGATCTGTTAATCGCTAGTCTTAACCTCCAAAGAATTGGTCAAATTGTGACTTCTGCTTTCATACCCATTGTTGGGTTGGATCCTTATGTAGAAACATCTGAACATTTAAGTACAGCAATTGATTTATATGCAGGACTTGACAATAAAATACTTGTTATACAAATTCGTTCACCGTTCATCAAATCATTGAATAATTTTTATCATAGTTTGTTACAGTTTATTACAGCAAATAAAATATCTAAGGTATACTTTTATGCGCATATTTACAAACGTACAAATAACAAGATTTTAATTTATGTTTTATTTTAGATAGTAATCCTGACAAGTAGCTATGCATATGAGAAAACCGATACTCAAATAAATGTTACAGAATTAAGATACATTGCATCTGCCAGTATATTAACTAATAACAAACAAATTTTCGATGATTCTAAATGGCTTCAATATGAATCTAAATATACATCTTGTCCAAATGACCAACAGATAGTCCACATTCCAGGAGGAGGCTTTGCAACTAATTTATTTCATTATCTTTCGAACAATAATGTACCGTGTATAATATTGTTTAAATTTTGCTCAGAAGGAGATAATATTCCAGATGCATTAAATTTATTAAATTATTTGAATCAATGGATGAAGTTACTAAAAATGAATTCTAGTGGATCTTTAGATGTGAAGTATCCACCATCATGGAAATATTTATTTGGAAATGTACCATCGTCCGAGATATATTAAATAAAATACTATATATATTATAAAATTATTTTTATAAAATGTTTATTTCTCTCAACAGTATCTCGTATATGTTATTGCAATATATAAAATACATGCAATATTATTGCATAATATAAATATATAAAGATGTATCAGATACAACTAATACAACAGTACATTTTCTTCAATTTTATGAATTTATTTGAACTGGAATCGATCACATATGTCCTACATTATATTTTTAAAATTCAGAAATACCAGACATGTTCAAAATATTTATAATTACAAAATTTCAATCTAATATTGTAATATTTCGCATTAATAATGATGAGTATGGAAATTAGAGACTTTGTAAAATAAATAATATTTTTACTACGCAAGCAGTTTAAATTTAGCTGAAAATGCAGCATATGAAACAAGAGCAGCTAAAAATGCTGCCAAAAATTCAGAGTTGATCCATGGTCCAAGATAAATACCTGGATTATTGAGTACAACTACAGCTAGTGGTTTAACTACACTTGGATCTTCTCCACTTCTATAAGCTTTACGAATAGCAGCATATTTTTCTTCGTCGTAAAGTTTGACACTGTAATCTCCTGATCGTGCATGTTTGATGTCTTCTGTCCAAGAAACCTGAAAAAGAAAAAACAAATATTTAGAATAAACATATATATAACAACATACAAATTATTTAGATTTATTATTTTACCTGATATTTGTTATCTGCACTTAACCTTACAGCAGGTAAAGCTTTTCCTTCTACTTCAGCATACAATGGAATTCCTTTAACACCATTGCTACACTTTAATACAAATTGTGTTGTAAAAGCTACATTAGTAAGAACAGTAGCATCTTCTGTTACATATGCTGATGCTACTACTTCTGGTTTTTGACATGTTTCTGCTGATATTGTCAAAATTACAGCACATAATGTAGACAGAAAAATATAATTCATGTTTATTTTAAATTATGTTTTATACAATAATTGAATTAATAAGATGCTTATTAAAATCTAACAATAGATTCTTATATTATATATGATATAATATAGCAAACGACAATATGAAGGACACTTCAAACACGATTCTCAGTCCACTTGGTTACAATTATTCTATCAAAACGTAATTCAAAAACTGTACTTGATTGCAGACGTGTTATGACGTGTCTTTAACCTCTGAATATAAATGGTACAGATGTTAGACAACATATAAATTCATGACATAATAATGTCATCTACTGGAAGAATATGTAATTGAAAGTAAGGTTAGGTACAAATGATTTAATTTATTATATTGGCCAATAAATCCATGTTATTAATATAAATAATACATTAGAATAATAATATTTTAGTTATCCATAACACAATTATTAATATTTTATATTTTATAAAAGCAATATTATATACATATATATATTATATGTACTTTCATAAAATCCAATACATTGATTGGTTGTACATTTTCCTTTACAACAAACTTCATTGTATAACCAATGATTACGTTATAAATAATTATATTACTCCTGTATGTGATTGTTCATGAGAAAAGCTATTTATGTCATTTTTCAAGAATTAGAACAAATTAGATGATCGAATTTTTCAATCGTCGATACAAATTAATAGAGGGGGATATAGGGATTGCGATTGAAGCTTAATACAATAAAAAAAAGATGCTATTGTGAGACGCACTCTCATATACTTATTCAACCCATCCTAATATTAATTGTTAATATTATATATGTTTTTTATACCAATAATTATCAAAATGAAGTGAACTGACAATTCCAAGAACATTTACACATGGGTATATATTTATATATATATATTAAAGATCGTAATAATAATAAAATGTGATTTTTAACATCATATATATTTTACATCTATTATTAAGTAAATGATGAAAATAATTAATCTTAATTAACAGATTATCATTTTTCAATATTTTATGTGAAAGTAAATTTAGAGCTTTGTATGAATAAAATGTTTTCATTTATATTTTAGATGCAGTAGTTATTTCTTTTGATAATATAGAATGTACTACATCTATGATTGAGTAATATTGTAATCGCTACTATTTTGTATAATTTGGCAATACTATGGGTAAGTAAATGAAGATTTAGTTTCTTTAACTAATTTAATGTAGTATATATAGACTATTCTTTTATTTCTAAAACAAATTAATATAAATTTTGAATGTATGATAGTGATGGCAGGAAATGAAGGTACGCCAGGATCTTTGGCAGAAGATACATTATCTGCAAGATTACAATGGCTTCGTCAAAGACGTGAAGCATTACAAGAGAAACTTGCTCTGAAAAATACAGAATTAAAAAATCTTTGCATAGAGGAGGCAGAATTAACAGGAGTATTACCACCAGAAATACCATTAGAGCCTGGGGAAAGTCCACCCACTTTCCGTAAAAAAGTGGGCACAGCATTTACATATCCTCAAAATCTAATCAACAAATTAAAATCAAATGAGATTGTAAGATTATTATATGTTGTATTATATAATATTTATAATACATATTGGAAATGTTAAATTTAATTTTACTATTGTAAGCAGGAAGAATCAGCTCTAGAATTAGAGCGGCAGGTTCAAATTGGTATAGTGGAAGCTGCTCTAGGAATCGTTAATGATCCTGCAGAGAGTAAAGCTGTACGTCGAAAACATAGATTGGTTTATCAACAAGGTCAAAGAAAACTTCAAGAATTGGAAGCACGCTTAAATTCTATACGTCAGTCTCGTAATAAAACACACCGTGCAGGACAATATCAGCATACGATGCCATGTAATACTCAACCACATTTACAGAGTAATGTCAAACATAGAACAAAGAAACCACGACCACCGCTTGATAGTACAGGTATTGTTTATAATTGTATTTATAATGAAGAAAGTAATAGCATCAAAGTTACTAATATTTTTATTTATTATAAATATTTTTATGTAGGAAATGAAAGTTGCTTGACTTCTACGAGAGGTATTGCTCAAGAAGAAAATATTAATTTAAATTCCATAGGAACAGAACAAAAATATCCTGGATATGAGGAACATCTTCCATTCACGAATGCCTATCATCATAGTCATGATACTGGTTTTTCTTCTACAAGTCCTGTTGACATACGACAAAATATTAAAGCATCAGAAAATGATTTTAATGACAACCACAATATTTATATTCTACCTGATCAATATCGTACTCGTACTTATTCTCATGGTAGTGGTGGTACACGCAGTCAGAATAACTATCAGGATAACAACCGAGTTTATCGTACCGTACCTAACACGTACAGTGAAGAAGAACGTCAAATGAGATATCGTCAATTTCAACAACATCAACAACAACAGCAGCAGCAACAACAAAAACAACATGAATTACAAGAAGATTTTTATAATCATCAACAATATGCAGAATATAAACTATTTGATAACGAAGCTCAAAGAAAATCGAGTCAAATTTATTATGATAGAGATTTTCATTCGCCTCATCATATGCATGCAGAGTATCAATTTCATTATAAAAATCAATCACAGTCATGGCAAAGAAAAGATCGTGACATGTCTATAAATAGAAATTTAAGATCTATAGGACCACCTGTTGATTCGCATATGCCTCCAGGATGTTGGATGCGTTGTAACGAAGAAATCATTTGGTGTCCTGACGAACAACTTGTGTCTGATAGATTTGGTAGTCTTGATCGTAGAAAACGAAATGGAGTGCAGCAAGTAGGAAATATTCATACGGATACGCAATCCCGATATCGGACAGTAACGATTGGAGGATCTAAAAATACTGTACCAGTTGTATCCTACCCACAACCTACTATTCATTTATTACCTTTATCAGAACAGTCACAAGTAAATAATAAAATTCTTTTACGAACTCAATCCTTAGGAAGCGTAGAAACATGGCACTCCAATAGATCTCAGGAATCACAAGACGATAAAGACACTACTGATAGCGTTAGTCGCAAAGGAAAAGAAAAAGAATGGTATGAAACGTCTTTAGATTCAGGTGCAAGTCCTGCATTTGAGGCAGGCTTATTAATTACACATAAAGCTATGCACTGCCAATCAAGCTCACCTGTATCATGTGCTAAAGATATTGGTGTCATTAATGGTATTAATGACAATACTGTAAAGAATGTCCATTCAAATATACAAGCACGTTCTAAGTTAGAAACATCTATTCAAGCACAAACACATGTACAGCCAACTCTTATTTGTTATGATCATTGGCGACCTAAAGTACTTGAAATTCCTGCAGAATCAAGAAAAATTCAGGAAAATAATGACGAGGGAATTTTAATAAGATCTCCTCGTAATTGTACAGTAGTGCAGGCAGGAAAATATCAGCCTTATAGAGAAGTTACAAAACCTTTTGAAATGTCAGACTTTTATAAATATTCGACTAAATTTCGTAAACGAAATGAAATATCTGGGCAAACTTCATCAAATGAAAATTGTTTAGATTCCTATGCTGGAGATTTAGCTGGTTCTACCGATTTACAAAAAGAATCTGATTCTACTAATTATGTACACAATGGTAATGTTACTAGTCCAGTACAAAAAAAGATATATCAACCTGTTGAGCGTATGACATGTCAGCCCTATTTAACTACTTTAAGGTAGCTTTATTAAAAAGTATTGAAAAATATTGAGAGAGAGAGAGAGAGAGAGAGAGAGAGAGAGAAATAATGTGAATTCTTATTTTCTTAATCTCTTCAGTACAAGCGTCGACTTTAATCGGTAGCTACAATACGAATATATACATGGCCAAGCGTTAGGATTCGGCAGTGTGTCGTACCGAAAAAATTAAATATAATAATATGTATATAATATGGAAATTTACAATTCAATTAAAAAGATACAGCCAGTTGAACTTGCTTAAATAGCGTAACAATTTTATAATACGATTTTTTCACTATACAATGATTCATTTAAAGATATAATAGTTATTGCCTTTAAAATAAGAGAGTGCAATTATAATAGTATCTTATATTAAATATATATATAAATTTATAGTATTATGTGGAAAATAATAAGATATAAATTTATATTGAAATTAGAATGTACAAAAATGTTTGTATCGAAAAAAGTGATAGATTTGTTAATTTATAATTTATGTAACATATGATGACCTGAATATAGTGCCTTACTATCTTTTTAATAAGCATATTTACGCACAATACAATACGTTATTATTTGTTCTTGGTACTTAAAACTATTATTAATTAGAAAATTTCTTTATAAAAAAAAGAAAAATGTTTAATTATTTCTATTATTGCTATATAAGTATTATTGTAATTCAGCTGAAAAATATATGTAAATATCTATATTGATTGTAAAAATTTAGCAAAAATTTATCATGTTATGTACATCATAATAATATAAATTAATAGTATAAACGAGAAATTGTATTATTAAGGCGTTTAAATTTTTATTTGTACCACGCAAATCATAATAAAACGATATTGAAATCAAATAAAAATATACAAAATAACAATACATAATATTATAATAATATTTAATCAAATCTAAGTGCCTACATTTATAAATCTAAGAGCCAAAGACTCTAGGAAGATTATGTATCAAATATAATAATTTATCTTTTTTTTATACATATATATATATATATAT